CTCCAAATACCAGTAGCTTGCATAGCTTATACACTCACTGTCCCAAGGAATTTCCGACCTAGTAATGGCCGCTGGCTGTGGTGCTTAATTTCCACTGGATGTGGGGGAGAAACCCCTGCCTCCACCTGCAAAAGTGGCTTTAATCTTTGAGGTTCCCTAATGCTGATGGCTTCCAGAAAGCTTACATGGGCACCTCTGCCAGCAATTCTGAAACTAATGTCCTAAGGTCAATGATGAAAATCATCTGATCCTCATCCTAAAACTAACTCTGCCCTTGGGAGCATTTGCAAACGACTCCCTCAGTTGCGGGCAGTGGCATTGCCACTGCAGCAGACATCCTGTGACCCAGTTCTGCCGACTGCATTTATGGTAACTGGGGTATCGGTGGCAAATCTCAAAGAACGTAAATAAGTGCTTTAACCACAAATTAATACCTCTGCCCTGATTGCCCTCCCTGCTCATATCTAAAGCACTAAATTTAGCTTTGTGTTTCTAAATGATCACTAAGGAATTGCCAGTTAAGCTATTGAACCAGGCATGCTAGCTATGGCTCAATCTGTCTTCCCAAGGTAAAACACGTTTGGAGGGGAAAAAAGCTTCCCGCACAACAAGATCCTACCTCTCTGCAGGACAAAATAAAAGCAGGCTACCTTCATGGGGCAGAGCTTCCTTCCACAGGAAAAATAAAAACCTTACACAAGTTAAAGAACTACTTTTATGTATGCTGGTCGTTGTCTGAGTGACAGACATCAAGGGAGGTGCTTTCCCCAGCAGCAAAGTACTTGCTCTTCCGCCAGGCTAGCATGCTGCACTGGCTGTGACAGTCCGACCGAGGCAGGGAAAAGGGATGGCAGCTTGGCAGTTTTGGTGCCTCTGCCCTTGCTTTTTCACTGAGCTCAGACTTGTGCCAAACTGGGTAGTGATCAGCAGTTAAGCTGTTGTGCCATGCTAGAAATGTGCACCGAAGAGTTTCATCTTTCTGAAACTACCTGTTTGAAGAACTTTCTCCAGCAGTGACCTAGTATTTCTGATGTAGCAATGGTATGAAATCATCTGATCACTTCATACAAAGCAAACCGCAACCAAAGCAAACGGTGATGCTGTTTCTGCTTTTCTGCCTGGTGGTTCCCATGCATGGCGTCTGCCTGCTGGAACTCCTACTTGCAACTGCTCTGGCTTGAAGCTGTGCCTTTCTCCAAAGGATTCTGGAACACCTGACCCAGAGCTGCTAAGCGGTGTGCTTTCCTGCAATCTCTGAAGTAAAACAAGGTCTGCTCAGCACTCTTGCAGGGGAGAGACTAGAAAGAGAAAATAAAACCATGCTGTGGGCTTATAAAGACTTGCCCACACCACAAATGCTGGTGTTGCAACACACCCCAATTCCTCTTACAGAGGAGAGCAAACCATGTTCTAACATGACCGTGCTGCAAGGATTGTCACTGACACAGTTGCATCCATAATTAAGATGGGCTCCTAGTACTTCAGAGGTTGATTCTAACCTTATACTAGTTTTTACATCAGCCAAGGAGTTACTCCTGACTTATGCTAGCAACTAGAGTCCTCTCCTCTTTTTTTTTTTTCCCCTGCAGTGTATCTCTGCGTGCTAACCCTGACAGCAAGGCCAGTAAGACACTCTGCAGTTTGAGGTTTTTCCCAGCTGTCTAAAAGTAAAATAACTGAGCAAAGGGGTTGTTTGTAATGGTGTTGAAATAGTTGGGCTTTGCCCTGTGACAGGGCTGCAGACTGATTCAGCCTACTTGGCTTCAAAAAAACCCAACAAACTTGCCCTAAAGCAGCGCAAGAGGACTAACCACTAACTGAGCAAACCCTGTGGACTTTGGGACTGAGACTTTATGTTCAAGCCCTGCTTTTGTTTGGAGCAGTTCTCCCAGGCTGATGAAGTCCAAGCTGTATTTTTGCTGCGCTGTTAAATGAGGCAGCCCCCTGGGTAGGGTGGTTACCAGGAATGTGCAGGAGAGCGCTGGCTCCGGGCTTCTCCCTTGGGGCTAGAGGTCCCAACTTTTGTGACAACTTTTGCTGTAAACATGTAGCACTCTGCATCCCTGCCTTGCTTGAATCTTACTAAAATGCTGACTAATTGCACAGTTAATGCAGCAATATTTGATATCCTCTTGAGATGTCTGCCCTGGCTCTATCCATAGTCCAGGGCGAACAAATGCTTGTTTCACTGCTTCTTCCCCAGCTCTCTGTTCCTGTTTCCACAGCAAAATAAAAACCTTACACAAGTCAAAGAACACAAGAAACAAGACAATGGTCTCTGTCACAAATCAGATGGCAAGTTTTTTGGGGTAGAGTCTGCCAGTGAGCCTGGAGCTGTGCCTGGCTTGGGAATCCAGTTCATGAGGAATTTTGGTTTGGGGCTTTTCCAGTGGAAAATGCCATAGCACTTCTAAGAATAGGAATTAACTGGCAAGGGAGAGAAAAGTGGACGCTGCACTGAAGAACAAATATGCTGAAGTCCTTGCTGTGCCTGACTAAGGCTGAGAAGTAATCCTGGATTTATTGCACAATACTGGAGTGTCCAGATACCAACCTAGGTCTATGCTAGGGAAGCCAATACATGTTCAAGATATTGCATAACTTTTATACTTTAATCCCATTATGTAATGAGAATACTTCTGAGACTTGGTTTCATAGGAAGTGAGATTTCCTGCCTAGTTGGTCAGTAGGATGGGAATGCAAGCATCAAGGTAGCCAGCCAGAATGCTGCAGCTGTGAAACCTGGCTCAGTCCTCTATGAAAACTTTGAAGGATTTTCATATCCTTCCCAGAGCTGCAAGACTGCCAGTGTTGCCGGAGTTGGCAGTGGTGGGGAAGTTGATAAAAGTTCCCCACTATGAACACAGGTATAGTGGGACTACTCTAAAATGACTCTCATCTCAATGTCCTTTGCAAAGGATACTCCAGAGTGAGCCTTCAGAGGAAAGGGGCTATGAGCACTGAACAATGATTAAGAAGGTAAAATATGCCTATTGCTGTTTAGCATCTCTGTTCAGTCTCTGGCCCTGACACCTTTCTGGAGGGGAGCTGAAGTCCTGCCAGTCTTTTTTTTCTTTTTCCCTCCCCCAAAGAGGAAAACGGATTAAGCCATTGTAAACCCCATCTCTACTTCAGACAAAGTGGGGAAAATCTGCGGGCTTTCCCCCCTTAAAGGGTATTAAGCAAGTTCAGACTTTTTTTTTCCAAATAAATATTTCTGGCTTATAAACTCCATTATTAAACTGTTTGAGTTTGCCACATTTTGAAAATTAAAACTAAAAAATTACTTATACTACTGTCCTAACAAGTCCTGCTGCAGCTGCATTTCAGCAGGGCTTGTTAAAAGGGCAGTAATCTGTTGTGATTGAGTGAGACAATGTTCAGTGATTCCCACCATTAGCCCTGCTTCTGCAGGGTGTATCTCCCCTTCAAGCATTCCAGTCCTTGGCCAGCAAAGAGCCTGTGCAGCGGGAAGCTGAAGCAGACCTATCTCTAGCAGAGAAAATGCATGACAGATAAGATAGTTCTCACCCACTTCTAACCTGCAACTTTGAAGCCAGTCAGATGTTATCAGCAATGAAATAAGTAGGATGGTTACTTAGTTTAAAGTATTTGGCTGTTTGGGGATTGAGGGAGGTGACCGAGTATAGTCTTTGTCCTACCTAAATATTTGCACATCATAAATCATGGAGCCTCTCAATATCTTCACACCCTTGCAAGAAAGACTGGTGATGCCACACTAATGTTCCTAGGACATGCTGAATGATGGATCCCAACTTTGCCCTCTGCTTTTCAGCAGTTTTGCTAGGACTTTGATTCACTGGAGGAAATTAAGTTGTACTCACGCTACTATACTCCTGTTTTTCCTTTCAGCTGCAGTTGAATTCAGTATGGCATCAGAAAAGACCACAAAACCCCATCTGCTAAAGGCTGAGGAACAGCAGCAAGCGGTAGGTGCCAGGGCAGCTAGTGCTCCAACATGCAACAGTTAAACTACCTGCTGACAGATATGTTGGTAAACTAACTTCTGCCAGCACCTCAAAACCAGGCTGGGAGTAGCAGAAAGATTAACCATATGAAGCTGTGGCTAAATCTAAACTCAGTTAATACAGAAGCTATCATTTTTTGCTCAAGAGAAAACTTCAGGGCTGGCTCAAGTAATTCTGAAACATGAGCTGTTATAGGTCCTATTTCCACATCTGGGTTTGGTGCTGAAACCCAGTGTGACTCAGAATTGATGAGCCCAGAACTCAAACTTTCAATCCTGGCTTGTCACTGACTTGCTAGCGGTCTTTGGATGAGTCCCTTCAACTCCGAGTTTAAGAAGGATGAGGAGATGGGTTGGATGTCCCCTTAGACCTTTCTCGAGAGCCACATGGCTTGTATTCTCTCACCAGCTTGAGGCTGGGCCTCTAGCATCACTTATTTCTCTTGGGTTTTAGAGTGCTGTTAATCGGGTAACCAGCTTGCCCTTGCTCAACTCTGCATTCAACCTGGTCTCATCTGCCTACAACCATACCAAGGAGACGCATCCTTACCTCAGTGGTGTCTGCAATGTGGCTGAGACTGTGGCTGCTGTCGCAGTAGGTAGCGTGGTTGGTGGGGCACAGCCCATCCTGAACCAACTTGAGCCACAAAGTAAGTGAAGAGGCTGGAGTGACCCTTTCTACACAGAGGAGTAGGTGGGGAGGGGAGTTCCATGTGCCTGTTGGGTGATATCCATCTCCTATAGCATATTGTTCTGCATAATTGTAGCACTGAGTCTTCCAGTCAGCAGCTCCCACCTGCTCAGCTAACCCACTGAATTTCATGGACATGAAACTAGCATGTTTACTAGCAGAAACAAAGTTTGGCCTCTTGTCTGTGGCTTCTTTAAGTCACTAAGCAAAAACTCCCTGCTTTTTCTCTATCACTCCAAGTTATGAGCATCCCAACTGGTAGTGGCAGTGTCCATCTTGGATATAGCTCAGTCTGTCTCATCCCAACACTTTTCAACCCTTTAATCCAATTGCCCTACCCAGCAGGGGCAAGTATTATGTTCTAGCTGGAGCTGCCAATAGCTAGAAAGCTGGGGAGGCAAAATAGAGACTATTTGAACCTACCAAATCATAGGGTTTGTTCACTTTTTAACAAGACACCACCCCAGAATAGTGGGGTTGGTTTTTTTTTTTGGCTTGCTTTTGTGAGTGTATCCTAAATTGGCCATTGTAGGGTCAAAAACCCCTCTTGAAATCAAAGAATAAACTGGTACCTGTTGTCTTGTCTAGTTGCACTTGTAAATGAATATGCCTGTAAAGGACTGGATCAACTGGAGGAGAGCTTGCCTTTTCTTCAACAGCCAGCAGATAAGGTAAAGTAAAGGATTTTCCTGGGGAATTTATGACTTGATCTCTTGATTGATGGAACTGTTATGGTTACAGAAGAATATGGGGAAATAAACTTCAGCAGCGCTGCTTTGTCAGGTCAGTCCCTGGTATGGGCTAGAGGAGGCACTGCTAGCTGGTGAAAGCATGTGGAAGTGAGTATGTCCATGTAAATACAGGTGTACTGACTTCCCCAGCTCTCCCACAAGACTGCAAGCACAATTTAGGTATATGGAAAAGCTGCTTCAGGGAGGGAAAACCTATTTCAGAAAAAAAAAAAAATGTATCTTTCTCTGCCTCTCCCTGTTGTAGGTAATCTCAGACACCAAGCAGCTGGTTTCCACTAAAGTGACATCTGCTATGGATGCTGCCTGTGAGGCAAAGGAAGCAATGGCTGATAAGGTGACTGAAGCTGTGGACCTCACTAAAAATGTTGTTGGGGACAGTGTCAAGCTGACTAGGTCAATGGTCACCTCCACTGTTAACAGTGCTGTGGAGGCTGCTCAGGGTGCCAAGGACCTTGTGACTAACAAGGTGACAGAGGCAGTAGACCTCACTAAACACATGGTGGAGGACAGTGTTGGACTGACCAAGTCTGCGGTTGCTTCTACTATCGTCAATGCTGTGGAGGCTGCCCAAGGTGCCAAGGTCCTTATGACTAACAAGGTGGCTGAAGCGGTGGACCTCAGTAAACATATTGTAGAGGACAGCATTGGACTGACCAAGTCTGCAGTTGCTTCTACTGTTGTCAATGCTGTGGAGGCTGCCCAGGGTGCCAAGGATGTTGTGACTACCAAGATGACCGAAGCTGTGGACCTTGGTAAACATATTGTGGAGGATAGCGTTGGACTGACCAAGTCTGCAGTTGCTTCTACTATTGTCAATGCTGTGGAAGCTGCCCAAGGTGCCAAGGACCTTGTGACTAACAAGGTGACAGAGGCAGTGGATCTCACTAAACACATTGTGGAGGACAGTGTTGGACTGACCAAGTCTGCGGTTACTTCTACTATTACTGCTGCTGTAGGAGCTGCCCAGGGTGCAAAGGATCTTGTGACCAACACAGTGACTGAAGCAATGGACCTAACCAAAGAGGCTGTTCAGGATGGTGTTGAGAAGACCAAATCAATGGTCACTTCTACAGTCAATACAGCTCTGGATGCTGCATATGGCACCATAACTAGCAAAATAAATACAGCCTTGGAGCAGAGTAGAGAGGCTATCCAGGAGGGTGTGGAGATGACTAATTCAGTAGTGACCAAGAGCATAAGCAAAGCCAAGACAGTGAGCCAAGCAGTGGCAGGTGGTGTGGAATCTGTCCTAGGTATATCAGAAGAACTGGTGGATCACTACCTCCCAATGACAGAGGAGGAACTAGGTGAGAAAATGCTTAGCTGGCGGTTGTAAATGCAAATCCTTTTCCACATGACTAGAGACCACCTGAAACTGCAAGACCCATCTTCTGAAGTAGACAGGTAGCTCTGAATTTGTCACCAAGCTGGCTGGCTGTCAACACTGACTTGCCACATGGTATGGGTTCAAGCATTTGCTAGCTGGCTGTTGCCCATCAGGCTCAAGGCAAATAAAGACGTGGGTGCATGTTTCAACGTATCTGTCAAGTCTGCTTATCTGAAGAGAGCACGCTGAGCAGGGACTAGCCTACCTTTAATATCTGAGCAACTCCAAACCTCCACTGTTTACACAGCAAGCTTCAGCCTTCGTGGTTTTCAATGGGTGATCTTATCTCTTCCCCTCTCTTACAGCTGGGGGAGCAGAGCACAGCTGCATCTCTGTTTTTGTTTCCTTCAGGTAAACTGGCCACTGCTGTGGAGGGATTTGGTATGGCTTCTGTGGAGGAGCAGAAACAGCAACAGAGTTACTTTGTGCGTCTGGGTTCCCTCTCTAACAAAGTCCGCCACCAAGCCTACCAGCACTCCCTGAACAAACTGCAGCGTGTGAAGCAAAGCACCCAGGACACTCTCTCACGACTACAGCTGGCAATAAAACTGGTACAAACATGCTTTTTTCCTTTTTCCTCCTGTCTGTAGTCTTCCTGCCCTACTATCCAGATGGAAGCTCTTCCTCCATCCTGCACCAGCTGCATGTCATCTTGGCTCCCTCCCTGGGAGGGAAGTGCTTGTGCTTCTCTGATGGTGTGTGCTTGCAGTACAGCTGTTCCTTTCGCTTTTCCCATCAGATTGAATCTGTGAAGCAAGAGGTTGGCCAGAAGGTTCTGGATGGGCAGGAGAAGCTCCATCAGCTGTGGGTGGATTGGAGCCTGACACAACCCAAAGGAAATCAAGTTAAAACTGCCTCCCAAGCAGAGGTATCCCTAGAAGGGCGTATTTAATCAGGCCTCTGGTGAATGGTGTACATCTCATTTGCTCTAGTAACTGAGCTATATCTCTTTCCCAGCAGATAGAGTCACGGACTCTAGCTATGCTGCATATCATCACCCAGCAGCTACAACATGTTTATGAGAATCTGAAAGCCAGCATCCAAGGCCTCCCCAGCAACATCCAAGAAGCTGTGTATCAGGCCACTCGAAATATCCACAAGCTCCATAGTTCTTTTTCCAGTGCTATGTCTTTCCAGGAAGTCTCCAGCACCACCCTGACCCAGAGCCAGGGCTGCGTAGCAGAAGCCCGAAGGTCCCTAGATGACCTGTTTGAGTATGTAACTCAGAACACCCCTCTAAACTGGCTTGTGGGTCCCTTCAGGGCGATAGCTGCAGTGTCACAGGATAGCAGAAAGCAGAAGAAGAAAGATATGGTGACTGATATAAAATCACCTGTGTTGGAAAAGGCTACATCATCAAAGGAGGTGGTTAAGACACCTGAAGAACCAAAGAGAGTGAAGAGGAGACCAAGGAAAGGGTGTGAAGTGCTAGGGAAGCCGGAAGAGAAGGCAGAGAAAGACATAGAGGTGGCAGAGGCTGCAAAGGAGATAAAAACTAATGCACCAGAGGAAGATCTCTGAAAAATTCCAGCTCTTCTGGCCAAGGCTCCCTGGCTAGAACAGCACTTTATCTTTTAGTGGTGTGTCCAACTGCCAATAGTGCCAAGAGTGCTTCCTGCTCTCTCCCTGTCCCAGGCTGAGTTTACAGTAAGATGTAGTTTGCAAGGAGACTTGATAACCAAGGTGGGGTGATTCCTTATCTTGATTTGCTATTGTTTTTTTTTTTTTTTTAAATCACACTGTTGCTCTGAAAGGGAAGATGGGGACCTGTACTTCAGTTTTTTAAGTCAGCCCAGCTGTATGTGTGAATGGCTAATTCTTGCTGAGACAAGTTGTGGGAGAGAAGAAGCAGTCTCAACTTATTTTTAAAGTTGGATTTGTTTTTAATTCATCCAAGCTGCAGAGATCTTGAGATGATGATGCACTTGACCTTTGATACAGTTTCCCTCCTCCTACAAGTTTAAAAAATGTGTTACAGACACAACTTCCTTTCTTCCTGTTGTGCTTCTGCAGCAGACCCGGAACAGCAAGAAGCTGCTTCTCAAAAAGAGACTTCTCTTTATGGATCAGCCAAACTTCTTCTTTGATAGAGAAACACATAGCAAGGTGGGATTTTCCTCTAAGCATGCCAATTTGCAGTGGGATTATCTTTCCTAGTCATACAAATGACTTCAGGGATCATCTGTTTCTGTGTGAGTAACTCCATGTGTGAAACCTTTTGCAGCTATTAAGAAGCTGGCAAATGAGGCAGCTTTTGCCAGGAGTTATTCTGCCATGGTAATAGGATATCCTGTTATTAAAATGGGGCAGATAGGTGCTGGTTATTTTCCCGCAAACAATGCTTTGTAATCATTCCTAACGTAACTTACTTTTGTTACTTACGTCCTGGCATGGTCCCTGTGCTAAGGTTGGAATAATGGCAAGCAGACTTCAGAATAAAGTGTAACCTGCGTTCAAAGAAATACCCGTCTCCTGTGTATATCTAAAGCTGCAGCGTTATATTGCCCCTTCGGCCTCAGTTGGTAAGAAACTTGTATTTAACAAATCGCTTGTTCCCTCATCTTCCTGGAGGAAGAAAAATAAATTATTTTAGCAGGTCCCACGTTCTGCCTCAATCCTCAGCAGAAAAGTGCCTTTGCTATTTGGTCCCTAAGGCTTCCGCCTGTACTGGCGAGGCTGAGCCGCGCCTGTGCCGCTGCCGTCCCCGCACC